TCAAATGACATCATCCATGAAATAAGGTCCAATTTGCCTAGATCAACAAATAGAGGGAATAATTTGCTAGTAAAAAAAATGAACGGGTAATCATCAACTTAAAGTGGAGTAGACGGACTAATTTACATAATTTGTTAATTCATAGAAGTTAGATTGGTCTTGAAACCATGCGTGATTTATAATTTTTCTTTTTATGAAATATTTTATTTAATTTTTTTAAAGAATATTCTTCGAAAATATTCCTTTCTATTTTTGTGAAAAGAATATTCTTTGTATGACAACTAAGAGAGTTCGCATGGCAATATTACTTATGGTAATGCTATACTTACAATGCCACATAAGATGGTATATAATTTTATATGTATTTAATAAAATATAATGTGATATTAAACAAGTGGATGTATACAAATATCACAAGTGGATCTCTAAATGAAAAGAACTAATTATATAATAATATATCATATTGTACATTGACAATATTTACATGACATTATAATTATAATATTTTTGTATTACTTAAGATGATATCATTTGATTCATTAAAAAAATAAGTATTGAAATTTAAATTCGTGAAAAACTACCTAAATCAACTAAAAAATCTGGTGGGGGGATATTGCAAGGATAGAAAAAAATTTATTATAAAAAACACTTGTAGTAGGTAACAAAGAAGGAGCTTGGTCAAATCTTTGATTCACTTGTAAGATACTATTATTATTATTAGTTACATACAGTGTTTGAATTTCGAAGCTATTCATTAAAGAATTTTTCTTAAAAATATACTAAATGAATGAAAAGTTATGCTCTTAAGATTATTTAAGAAGAAATTAGTGTCAAAAGTGACAAAATCTGTCTAAAAAATACCTTAATAATAATAACCATAAAGTGACGGGGTTTTGCCAAAAAGAAAAAGAAAAAAAAATGTATAGAGTATGAATCATATATAGCAACCTAAATCCATAATTTAAGGAAAAAAATCTCTTACCCCACATAATTTTTCCTTAGAAACACTATAAATTCCACCAAATTTTCATTCTGGCTACCACAATACAAACACTTTAAGAAGTTAAAAATTTATCATGGAGCTTGTGTCCTCAAAACCTTTTGTTATGTGGATACTTGTGGTATGCATTGCAATGCTAGTTCTATCTCCGGCGCTTGCAGAAGAAACACAAGAAACATCATCTGCAGTGAAACCAGACAATATTTTAGATTGCATAAAGTCTTTGGGGAGTGTGGGAGGATGCATCGATGCGATAAAAGAGTTGATTTCCCATAATAATTTTGCGAATTTAGGGAAAGAATGTTGCGAGGCTCTGACTGACCTTGGTGACAATTGTTGGCCTATAATTTTTCCGGATGAGCCTACTGTCCCTATTCTGGTTAAGACTGTATGTGCTTTTGTAGAAGCAAAGGAGGCTAAAAAGGCAAATTGAACTTTTGATGGAGACTTGTGTGGTTTTTTAATATAAATAAGTTGTTAACTTCAATGTAATGGTTTAATGGATATGAGTTTGAAACTCCAAATTGAAGATCTCAATTTCAAAGTTTAAGTTGAGTGAAGAGAGATTAAAGAATAAAGGAGTACTATCCTCTCTTATATAATTCATAATTAAATGTACCAAAAAAATATAAATAAATTATCTTCTTTTCAAATTTAGCAAATAATTTTTAGATATTATTTATTTATTTAAATGATATCTAAAATAATTTTTTATATTTAACACTACTTTCAATTTCATTATCAATTAATCTTGAAAATTTGAACAAAATAATCAAATCTTTAAATAGAAAAAAATTAAAAATTAATATTTTTAAATAAAAAAATTAAAAATTAACATTTTTATTTAAAAACTGAAAAAATTAACATTTTTAAATAAAAAAATTATAAAGTTGGCATTCTTATTTTTACAATTTCTCATTTTCTTTGAATAAAATAGCATATATTAAAATTAAAAATAAGTCTGTCTTACTATCAATCTCAAACTGAGTTAGTTTAAGATTTCCAAACTTGAGTTTGGCACAATTAAAAAATTGAAAATTGGACCAAGATCGACGTCTACTTATAGTGAATGATAAGCCGAAGAGCTTAACTAGCACAAAACAATTCATTGGGGTTCATTTTCTTATCATGAACAAACTTTAAGGGCATCCACTGTATTTTCGAAGTAAAATTTCAAGAGCGAAGCAAATTATCGCACAAAACAGATGCGCCATTTAGGAACGGCTATGGAATTGTGAAAATGCGCCATGAAAGAGTCAGTATCTTAGAACCTAATTCTCTAAGGAAGCTGCGCCACCGAGATAATGGGGGGAAGTTCTTAATCTGCTATTTACGCCTGCTGTATGAGCCTTGATTGTTTGGGTTTTAGGTTGGCATAAGCTGCAGATTCCGGCTTAGTTTGTATCTTCTCCTGTTGTTTTTCCTGAAGCCTTTTTCGGAGTTTTTGATTTCTTAAGTGTTGTAGCTTTTGGTTTGTATCTGGAGTTCCAAGGGATGTATTTTGTTTTGGGAGTATTTCTTATGCTCCTTTGCTAATATATTTCATATGATGCTTTGCTGATCAAAAAAAAAAAAAAAAAGTATCTTAGAACCTTTGGAAACCAAAACTATTTCTCAAATTTCAACGGCAAACAAAACCCCTTTGCTCGTTTTCAACTCCCATCGTTCACAGTTAGCCTGCACAGAACCATCGACGGAACTCCTTACCGAGAGCGAAAAGGAGTGGTCCACGGAGTTTGTTTTAAGCAACAGGTGACTTCTACCTGTATCCCAGAGGGACTCGCTATGAGATTGGCGGTTGGGAAGTGCAAGATATTTGGAGATTGGTGTTTTGTAACAAGGTTATAAGGTAACACTTTCTGACAAATGTCCTTTCAATTGGGTTAATAGTCACCTAATGTGCTGGTGAATATGTTATGTAAAGACGTGTTGTTCTGTGCTCTTAACGTTTAATGATGCAATTTATTTGAAGTTCAAAAAACAAAATCAATATTTGACAAATTAAAACATAGGAAAATATGTCAGGTATATGAATTAACACTCATTAATTTTTATTGATGTGTTTTACATCTATAAAATTCAACAAACCAAAGATCAATCGTGAGTTAGGTCATTACAAATTCTTTAGGGATATGTTTGGAAACTTGAATTTGTATTTGAGGGATGTACTTAAAATACAAGTAATTTAAATATATGTATTTTCAAATTCACTATTTGGATTAATATAACAACAATGAATTTGATATTTAATTTGTTCAATGAAGAAAAGAAAGAGAGTTGAAATACATAGATTTAAATTTGAAATACATGGGGTTGGGAGGGTATTTCAAATACATAAATTTAAAAAAATGAAATACATGAACTCAATTACATGTATTTGGGGATAAATTCAATTGCATGCTTATTTTGTAAAAACAAACAGTTATATTGAATTTGAAAGGTTTAAATTTAAATAAACTCTATGAGAATCGCATTCCCAAACATACCATAGGAGAACTTTGTGATTCTGCCTCCGTGCCATAGCCAATGTATGGTTAGAAACTTGTCTGCAAAACTTTTCTCAGTGTTTTGGTTGGATAAATTTGGTGTTAATTTATTGCAGATTTTTCACCTCTTATAAAAGCCTTGCAGGCCAAAACTAGAGAGCTAATAGGTTTGTCGTTGTTATGCAGTTAATAAAATGAAATAAAACAAATGGTTAATATATCCAGTATTAGACCTAGAAAATTCTATTAAACAGAAAAAAAAAAAAAAAAAAAAAAAAAAAAAAAAAAAAAAAAACATAGCAAATGGTTCTAGTCAATTGATCAAGTAGGTTTGGATTGGATGACCTTGGATATTGGGTTTATTGAGTCGAGTCATTTTGAGTTGTAGGTAAAAAGTGGACAGATTTATAGGACATTGATACATACACCTTATAAAGTTACACACTTTATTATACACTGATGGTTTTCATTACTTAATTCATTACACATTGATGATTTACTAAAAACAAGCTACTGTTTTGGATACAAAATCAGAACCTACAAAATTCCAAACAAAAAATTGATCGTTCAAAATAAAGATCAATGTCTCATGTTATTACACACTGATGGTTTTCATTACTTAATTCATTACACATTGATGATTTACTAAAAACAAGCTACTGTTTTGGGCACAAAATCAGAACCTACAAAATTCCAAACAAAAAATTGATCGTTCAAAATAAAGACCAATGTCTCATGAACACTCAAACAAAAATTCAGCTTAATTCAATGGTGAACTTTTGCAAATCGGATAAAATGGCAAAGCCAATACCAAAACTGTAGAAAAATGATCACAAAAAATGAGCTACTGTTCTGGGTATAAAATCAGAATCTACAAAGACTGAAAGAAAAAATTGACTGTTAAGAATGTAGATCAAAATCTCTTGAACATCCAAACAAAATTTTAACTCAATCCAACGGTGAACTTTCACAGATCAAACAAAATGGCAAAGGTGCACATAGAACCAAAATTGCAAGAATTTCCCATGTTTTGTTTTCCCTTTTCTACGGATTGGCTCCACTCACATGGACTTCACTTTCTGTTATATCATCCCAAAAATAGACTTATTTTATGTGTCTAATGGGCTGCAAAATCATGGGCTAAAACATGGATGATTTTGTGAGAAAATGAACTTTTCCTCAAGATATTGGAGACTCAAGATTCTGATGTGGTGCTTGAATGTACTGTCCAAACGGAACAACGAGAGGGAGAAAGGAAAGGAGAGAGAGAAAGAAAGGGTTGGGTGTGTTTGGGGAGTTACAAGAGAAGTGTGTGATGAATTAACTAATAGAGACCATTAATGTGTAACAAAGTATATAACTTTATAAGATGTATGTATCATTTCCTCATATCTATAACATATCATATCTATAACATACTCAACATACCCACATGAGTTTCAAATTGAATTGGGTAGACCCAACTTAAAAAAAAAAAAATGATATTACAATTAAAATTTTCATAATTTTCTCTATTTTCCTTTAAAACAATTCAATTTTAATTAATTATTTAATGAAAA